GACTCTTAGCTGATCGGCTAAGGGCAAAGAGTTCACCCAAGAAATGCAAAATTCTTGGAACAATGTTTACAGCCGTGTTTATAGGCAGCAAAGAAGCTGGGCCTTATTATGCGGGAGGATTGTAAAGCTGCTCGCGAGGCAGCGGCAGCGGCAGTGGCCAACTCTTAGCTCATGGGATCTGAGATATGCGGGGGTTCGGAAAAATAGTGAGTGCCTTTGTGCGTGGAAGGTCGGGGAATGGTTGGAGAAGAGTCAAGAACATGCATGGACCCCAAAACCCAGTGTTGATTGCCTTTGGTTCCAGCGTTGGCTTGCATGAGTGGCTCATATATAGATAGTTTATATATATATATATATAACGACGGCCTGAAACTTAGAAGGTAGGAAAATCGCCACTTTAAAACAGTATACCATGCATCTGAAAAGCCTAGAAGAAATGGCTTCCATCTACTAGCGATGGCCTTCAACCTAGAGGTAATGGCCTCCAATCTACTAGCGGTGGCCTCAACCTGGAAGAGATGGCCTCCAATCTACTAGCGATGGCCTTCAACCTAGAAGCAATGGCCTCCAACCTAGAAGAGATGGCCTGCAATCTACTAGCGATGGCCTCCAACCTAGAAGGAATGGCCTACAGGAAGGCCGTGCCACCACCTTTTTCCCCTGTCTGTCCCTGTTTGTCTTTGTCTTTGATGTGTTTGTCTTCATGCAGTCGAATTCCTGAGAAGGGTCGGTTGACCTCATATCTATCCTGCAGTGTTCTGCATTTGAAGAAGGTTGAACAGGCATTCTAAGTTCTGAAGTCCACATATTTATGTAGTACTTGGAGCAATCTTGGTGTTTATGCTCCGGAACTGTGGAACATATCCCCTGTCTTCGATTTGTTTACCTTGGCGCATTCGATCGAATTCCTGAAAAGGGTCGGTTGACCTCAAATCTATCGTGCAAAGTTCTGCATTTGAAAAAATAACGCAATTTTGCCCAGGCGCATTCCAAAATCAACAGCCCCAGTCGCCCTTTTTTTGCAAATGATGGTTGTTGAACCATGTTGCATACCAAAATGTTGGAAAATTTGCACTGCTTCTAAGTTGTTTGGCCCGCTGAAAAACTTGTAGCTTTTATTATTCAAAACACCCCTAGAACTTAGAATGCGCCACTTTTGGGGCATGCTAAGTATATTCCCTGCACAGGAGCGGTGTTTTATAGCCAAAACGTACCAAAAATGATTTTGAGGAGGGTTTTTCCCGAAACGGAATGGCACAAAAGTCATTCTTAGTTTCGGGCCGTCGTTATATATATACAGATGGTTACACAGCATATGGGTGTGTATTGAAATAGGGAGACCTCCCAGTTCAACCCCTGGAAAAGCAAAAATAGATCTCACTGGAACTTCGGCCAAGCTCTGATGCTCCGCCTGCACAGTGCCGGCTTGGGCATCAGCCAGCCTCGGCTGCAGACTGCCGTTTGACGCACTCCTTAGATAGAAGCAAATCAAAAATTGAGTATTCGAAAACCAAACTTTGAGGAGTAAATCAAACAAAATTTGGCTTTTCGAATACCATAGCTTGCAGCCAGCGATGCCAGCAAGTCCAACATGAACTGCGTCGCGCCTGCAAAACTCACTTGGGGCAATTCAGGGTTGTCTTCCGGTTGATTCCTAGGCCAAAGAAACGTTGGCCTGAACTCCCACCACCCATGCTTGAAAATGGACACCCCCTTACGAAGGCCTGGCCCCAGTAGTCATGGATTTTGGTTGACCTGCCCAGTACCAAGCAAAGTTTGTGGTAGGCGCACAAAATTGCTCAGAATTGATGCTCAATGGTCCATAGGAGTTTCCATTCTGCGTATTTTGTAAATACGCTTGCTGGACCTTGCGGTCTGAGGGTGCACCTTCCCTTTTCCAGTTGCTTATTTTGATTTGCTCCGAAGCGGCGCTCCGCCCAGTAGGAGTAAATCAAAAATTGTTGGTGTTCAAACATTGTTTATTTGCTCTGAAGCGGCGCTCCGCCGAGAATTTTGTTTGAGTTATATACTCCTACTGGGCGGAGCGCTTCAGAGCATAGCGATGGCCTCCACCTCCCAGCTCTTGCCCAACTTGCAACTCAGGCGCCGCGGTGCTCTCCCACCAGCCAAGCGCTGGCAGAGCTCCTGAGGACGATTCTATGCTCACAATACTTGCAGATACTCCTGGCCATACTACTAGTAACAACAAGACGCTACTAGGGGCTCCTGGCCTTACTACTAGTAACAACAAGAAGCTACCAGGGGCTCCTGGCCTTGCTACTAGTAACAAGAAGCTACTAGGGGCTCCTGGCCCTACTACTAGTAACAAGAAGCTACTAGGGGCTCCTGGCCCTACTACTAGTAACAAGAAGCTACTAGGGGCTCCTGGCCTTACTACTAGTAACAAGAAACTACTAGGGGCTCCTGGCCTTACTACTAGTAACAAGAAACTACTAGCGGCTCCTGGCCTTGGTACTAGTAACAAGAAGCTACTAGGGGCCTTACTACTAGTAACAAGAAGCTACTAGAAGCTCCTGGCCTTACTACTAGTAACAAGAAGCTACTCGGGGCCCCTGGCCTTACTACTAGTAACAAGAAGCTACTAGGGGCTCCTGGCCTTACTACCAGTAACAAGAAGCTACTGGGGGCTCTTGGCCTTACTACTAGTAACAAGAAGCTACTAGGGGCTCCTGGCCTTACTACTAGTAACAAGAAGCTCCAAGGGGCCCCTGGCCTTACTACTAGTAACAAGAAGCAACTAGGGGCTCCTGGCCTCCAAAAAAACTCTAACGAGTTAGTACCGTTATTCTTTTTGCCAAACCCATTTTACTGAGCTCTGGATGTCTTGGATGGGGACGGAAGTGGAACGCAAGCGACTGGCACACACACTCATGGGAGAAGGTGAATGTTTCGGGATTGGTTCATTTTCTATTTACTGCAAGATGGTTGCACCACAGAACCCAAAGTAAAGCCGCAGTCTTCAAAAAAGGAGACGCATGTAAACGCATACATCACTTCAATCCCAGTCGAAAGCGCTGTTCCACCCCAAGCGAGCCTCGTCGTACACCGCCTTCTCCATCGACTTCGCCTGACATTCTGCGCAAGCGCCAACGCGCTCCGGCTCCGCGTTGTTCCTCGCGGCTCGGACTCCGTGCCGCGGCTCCGCGGCCTTCTGTTGCTCTTCGAAGATCTGGAGGTTCTCTTTGGTCAACTTTGTGATCTCCTGAAGGACCCTTCATATCAGTAATTACCTTGGGCTTTCGTTATGGAACCCCAGATTTCGTTGTATAAATCCTGATGGGCTCACTGACCTGCAATGAAAATCTGAAATTCAATCGTGACCGGTGGACCTCCTCTACTGTCCACTACCTTTGTCCCCACTCCTTTGCTCCCTCTGACAACCCCATGATGGACAGTTTTCCTGGCCCCGCCACGACAACAGAGCACCCCAAAGACCACCACCATGTCCAACGCACTGCGCCTGCCACGAAATCTGCACAGCGACATAAAGCACTCCAGTCCCCTGCACCTGTCACAAAAAGTCAACTATAGACCACGATAATAACACGAGGTCTCCCTTGCGCCTGCAACGAAAGGTGATCACCAAGTCCGAAAACGCGCACGGCACCACAACAAGAGCGCAGTCTTGAAGAGCACCCCGGCTAACCCACCAGATTCTGCAAGCCTGCGCAGTCGAAGTGCACTTCGAGGATTTCGAGGTGAGTGAGTGTACTGCAAGTAGCAGCGAATTAGCCGCAGTCGCCGATGAGCACCTCCGATCAGACACCCGTCCTTACCTCTTACTGTAAGAACCCCCGTGTGGACACACTATTTGGGGAAAACAAGGAAACTCTGCCAAAGCCCAACCCCAGCCTTGCTCGCATGAGCAAGGCAGCGCCTCACACTTCTCGAATTCGGTCTTTTGGCAACTTGCTGGCTAGCACTGGCACAATGTCTGCAATGCAAGTGACCGAACAGCTACGGGCCTGAGAGCTCAAGCGAAGAGCTTTCATAGGCATCGCCCTGTCGCAGACTTGTCGATGCCGTACAGGCTAGCCGGGGTGCCTTGGTTGAGCAAAGCAACCATAGTAACATGGCCAGTGATATGACTTGCAACCAGATTTGAGGGAAAGTAGAGAAGACTCCCTCTAGCGATTCTCTGGGCGCTTGGGGAGGGTAAGGTCCACCATCAGCATGCCCTCAATCAGATGAGGTTGATGTGGTTAGATCAACCATGGGCATCATGGACCTGTGCTGCCACGGGTTGTAGAACCCGCGCTTCTTTGGGGAATGTTGGGGGCATTCCAAGCTGGGTGGCAACAGAGCGGGTGAGCTCTGATTGCCTGTCGCTTGCACATGTCTGTTCATAAAAAGTGTTGGGTTTGGGAGGCAACCACTCCCTGAGGTAAGCGTATGAAAGTTGTGGGGGTCAAGGGAACCGGACCATTGCTTTGGACATGTCGGCCGCGGCCCGTAATGTTGGTAGTGGTTGAGGTGTGACAGTGTGATACTTTTTGCAAGACTCCCGTGCCCGACACACAGCGTCAAATGGGTAAGTCGGACGGAGTGTTGTGGAAACAAAGTGAATTACTAAATGGTTTTGGGTTATATAGAAGCTACTAGTATCAAGGGCACTACTAGGAACAAGGGCATTTCTACTAGTAGCTGATCTAGGACCCCGCTCACTACGCACACAAAAGGGGGATCCCCAGTTCCCGGCTCATGCACGATCGCGAGCCACGGGTGGTTGGAAAACAGCCAAGAGAGCCAGCAAGGATGATTTGGGGAGGTATGGATTTGGAGACGTGGATTTGGTGCGGCGCCTGGATCAAAATCCACGTCGAGTCTCGCCCATTGCATTTGCATGTGGCTGAAACAATGAACCTATAGATTTGGATGATAATTTGTCCTTTGACCAGTCGGGTTGGGTTGGATGACCTGATGGCTTGGTTCGCCGCCATCTGTATCGACCCCCACACTCGTGGCCGCCTGTCCCTGTCCTGTTGCTCCTCTTCGGCCATCTGCTCCTGGATTCCAGGCTGATGGTTGCTACCAATGCTCACAGAACGCTACATCAACCGAAGTGAGAAAAACATGCTTCGAGGATCGAAACCGAAGTTGCTTGCTGTTTCCGAATTGGTGCCCCATGGGACCGCTGTTTCCGGCCGTCCGACCGTCCGACCGTCCGACCGTCCGACGCCACGGTCCGATCCGAAGGCCTCGCTCGAAACCCTCCGTTCGTCGCGTCCCATCGCTCCGTTCGTTGCGATGCCCTGTGTTCCGTTCGTAGCTTGGGGCGAACCCATCCACCTCATGACCTGACGTGATTGGACTCCAGACTCTGGACGTGTCAGGGAATGAAGAAACCCTTGGGTAAGGTTGTCCGGTCCTCCTTAATTACCTGGAAGGGAGGATAACCCTGACCATCCCTGACCTGACAGGGTTGCAAAAACAATTCCTTTTTTGGACGGAGTCATTCCTGGACATATTCCGGATCAAAATCATGTGACCTCTGGGCATTGGTTCAAGCGGCTTTGAAGATGATTTGAAGATGATTGGCGGGGATGTGGCAGATTGTCCGTCTTGGGGTGTCTATCTTCTTGAGATGCTGGCCTACGATGACACCGGCGCCAAGGAGCAACACCGGTGACCAAGGAGCGGAGCAGCGCCCAGTTGGCACCGGGTTGGGTACTTCAAGTTTGCACCAAACAATTTTGAACACCAAATCCATTCCCAGGGAACCTCCGCTCCAGCCAAACACTTTGGGATGACCTTCAGCATTCAAGCAGAGCAGGAAAACAAGCGTCCACAAGCTAGCTTCATCAGTCTTGTGCTATCCATGACCCACAGCCGCTTCGGCAAGCAAAGCCTTCGACTTATCCATGTACCTGCAAAGCCAAGACCTTCTGCCGCAGCATGGCATGCGCCGCCAGCTGAGCGATCTCCCCGCGTCGTGCGAGCACCAGTGCCTACACCCAAGAAGTGAGCTCACGGCAGGTGCAAGACTTGGGAAAGGACGCTGCTGAGACGGAAACATCCCACATTTCGCCTACATGGCTCAGAGTGGGGGCATGAGACCTCGTGAATAAGCCAAAAACAGTCAAAACAGGCATGAATTGAATATATATATATATATATATATGATAGCTAGTACAAACTGAGACCGTGGAAATGAAAAATAGACTCTACTTGAGCACATAGAAGAATAATGAAAAACACTCTGGGCTTGGTAGTTCAAGTTGGGAACATCCCACAAGTTCGATGAAAGACACCCTCCACGCCGGAGATGGTTCATCCGGAGCAAATGCCAAAGCAGACTTGGATCTTGCGGATTAGCATATCTGTGTCTGTGTTGAAGTATGTGGACTCTCTTCAAAACTATCTGAAGAGTCGACAGGATGGCGGTTTGTGAGTCCTTCGTGTGGCACAAAACCCACTGGTTCCACAGTAGCTTGGTGAGGCGAACGACCTTGCCTACGTGGACTCCAAGAAGTGAATGATAGCATTACGGGGTGGCCCGAACTTCACCGCCGATTGTGAACAGACACCAGCTGGTAGGCGGTAGGTTGGCACCGTCCCCAACCCGCAGCACTTCTCCAGCCTTCGGCGCCGGCATTCTTGCACGGGGCCCGGGCTCCTGCGAGGCGCGGTCGGCGGGAGTTGTTGCTCCGTTCATGGGTGCAACATCTCCTGGATGCTCCGAAAGGTGTTCGTTTTCATCAGAATTAACCCTTATGATCTGTTGGTGAATCCACAAAACACATGAATGAACTCAAGAGTTATGCTGCTTTGGTCTCCCAGACTTCCAAGACTTCCGTTATGAAGCTGTTCCTTTGGCTTCCCTGTTGAAGGCTCTCCCGCTTCCTGTTCATGTACATTCTTTCATTGAAGTGGCTTGATGTTCTTAGCAGCACGATCGGCTATTGCCTTTTCAATTCAAACGGGTCCTATGCAGTTGTAATTGTATAATACCAGATTCGAGGGGAAGACGTTCAACAATTGGTCGCTGCAGTTCCGCGCCACACAGTCAGTCTCCAAGTCAAAAATCGTGGTCACTATTGTACCTTGGGCCAATCAAAGCCAGTGGCCGCCATTTGAAGGCTTCGGGTCTTCATTGATATGTTCACTACGGCGATCCGAAGCCGAAAGCGACGCTTCCCGGTTCAAGGTTTCGGGTGGTGTTCGCCAACCCCACAGCTTGGTGCAACAAGTTGAAACTCATGCATTTTGACCTTGTAAGGTTGCACTTCATCTTCAAAACATCAATGAAATGCGTCTTCAAAGATCTTAAGGTCCACAAGTTCTGTGGTTTGTTGATGGTCCCTGTGTTAGTAGGGGAGGTACTTGTTGAGAAGTTTCAAGTTTTTCACACTCTCCATGTTCGTGTCCCTGTGCATGTCCGCAGCATTAAACCCGGCAGATCAGCCCCATCAGAGTCGAAAGGTTACAGAGTAGGCAACTGGGTCCTTGGCTAGTTCGTTGGACAAAGGCAACAACTGAACTCATGGCTTGCGGCAAAACGTCCTTAAGAAAAAGCAGGAAAACCATGATCAGGTCTTTCCACGACTTGCAGGTCCAGATTCCAGTTAAGGTTCCAGATTTCTATCCCTGATTCCCCTGACTGGATCTGCACTCCAACTGACTCACATGGAAGTGAAAAAGCCAGTGCGTCCGTTCGGAACCATCAGTGACTTGAGTCACCAGTCGGAAGTTTCCGCTCCTCCATCGAACAACGTCCCAGCTGCTGATTCAGTAAGAATGCCAGCATCCTGACGGTCGTGTCGAACTCAAAAACGACGGTGTTCGGCGTCGGGGAAGGTCCTACCCACTCAGTCAGTGAAGAAGTGCTGCTATGTAGTAGCAAAAGCAAGTTGAATGCCGCACTACACAGCAAAGTACATCTGTGAAAAACTGTATGCTACATACCCATCTCCCTTCCGGTGATCTCGACAACCTGAGGATGGCGACCGACCTCCCCCGGCGACGGACCTCGCCCGCTTGCTTTGGCTGCTCGGTAGCTCACAGCACAAGTGCTCCGCATGCAGCGCCACGCTGGGCTGCGCGCCTGGGCACTCGATGTGGAAGATTCCGCCCCGGCAACCTGGGGCGGAGTGTCTACCAACGGCCTCCAACCTACGTGCGTTGCTGCGCCAGAAACCAATAATGTTCGTTTTGTGGGCGATAAAAGATGTTCTTGTAGAACCACCAAAAGCCAACTGTTCTTTTAGACATAGTCAGATTGGAGGTTCTGGCAGTGATTAGAGGTGCCCTGGTCAATGTAGCTGAGTCTTGATCTTGGTATGGTGAGATCTTGTTCTCCGAAAACCAGATTCAGATCGATTTGGAGAGTCTGTCCCCCAGTCTCAAGTGTCAAAAGCCACAGTCAGCTGACGGTCTGCTGTTCCCACCACCCAAAACTGAACACCAACGTCAGACGTTCTATGTTCCCAATCGATCTTAATCTATGGAGAGATATGGAGAGTCAAGACCCGCCAAACAAAATAACACATCATGTATACATCGTCATACCTATATCGAGCATGTATTTGGAGAGTATCCCTATCATTTCCAATCAACATCCCCTCAAAAAAGGACACCCCTAGACCTTTCAGCCCTTCCCGCACGCACCGGGGAGACCCCGCACCGGAGTCGATGAGCACGGGATCCCGAAGAAAGCGCTGCACCAAAAGGTCCTGGGAACCCCACCGGCTGGGACGCTGGGCGGCACCGAGTCGATTCGATGAGAGGAGAGGCGTCGAGGAGAGGATGCAGGGTCCTGGCCGTGAGCTCTGGGCCATGTTGGGCCACTTTTGACGCTCGACACAGTCACACCACTTGGACTTGGAGAATCAAATATCAAGCGTGTGAACGGCTCACTCAACCTGGTGGGGGACAGGGCATTCTTCAAGGATTTAAACATAAAATCAATCAGGTTTTGAAATCCAAACTCTAGAAGACTACTCTATGGATTTGGTGGTTCTGTTCACAAAGTGTTGGGAACATGGCATCCTTCAGGACGACGGATGTTCCACCCCCCTACAGGCCCAAACAAGACTTCCCTCGGCAGGAATCGCGGATCACTGTAGGGCCGTAGTTGAGTAGTTGAGGTGGTGATGTGTTTGGGATTGCGGAACGTCCCACCAAACGACACGAGACGCGTGTAAAGGCCACAAAGCCATCACCGGTCCCGCACCTGCTCATTTACTCTCAAGGTCTCTCAAGCCTCCCCAAAATGGAACACCATCAGATTCCTTTTTCTCCGCATGAAGAGTCCAAGCCTCCACAACAACTGCAAAGCAACACAATTAGGATGGACTCGCTACAAAAGTACAACAACCAAACCATCGCTTCCGATGCTTCCGAACCCAAAGCCCCAAAAAAGGCCAGCTGCAGCCCCAAAGCTTTGGGTGTTGGTCTTGCCATCTTCGTTCTCTGTCATCCAACATCCGCCCCGCACCGGTCCGAAGCGCCTGGAGTGGTGGGGCCGCTTCGCACAGCACGACACGCTGGCAGGGCAACGAAGAGAGCAGTCCTGCGGTCGTTACGTCTTGGGGCCCGGGGAGACCTTTTTTTGAGCCGAAGACAGGACCAATTTCACACCAAAATGAGGTTGGATGGTTGCGAGATGACACAAACACACAGGTCGTTTTGTGATAGGGCCCTGAAATAGGGCCCTTCATCTTGGGACTTTTCGGCATTCGATGGTTTTTTGGTGGCTTCCGTGTGGGTCGGTCTGAGTCGGAAGTGACCCAACCACCACTCCTTGGAGCTCTTCCGGATAGGTCGCAAAGAGCCTTCGGCAGCGGGTTCAGCGGTCGACGGACCCTGCGACCGGAAGAGGTTCTTTGTACACAGAAATGAGATGTGGTTCGAAACATAAGACTGGAGGAGACATTGAGGGACCCTGCAGGAGACATTGAGTCTACTTTCCACTTTGAAAAGGGGTGGAAGTGTCGATCTCCCCACATCCCAGAAGTCCAGTGTTTCTGCGTTGGTTTGACTTGGCCACAGCCCTACCCCCAAAACCGATTGAATTGAAAAAAAAGCCAGGAAAACGTACTCTGCATCCAAATCATGGAACGAGCACCCTGCCTAAAGCTCTAAACTCCCCCTGCGACAGAAAAAATAGCACCTCACCGTCCCACCCCCTACCTGATCTACCTGCCAAAACATACCAAAACCCGCACTTTGGGCTCCACTATTGCTCCACTCCAAGGTGCTCCTCTGCCTCATCCAGCACCAGGCACCGCACGGCCATCCGCAACGGTGCACGCCCACTCACGGCGCTCGCACCTGGCTCATCGAAGGAAAGGCCCTGCTGCAGCAGCTCCTGCCCAGTCAAAGGGTCGAACAGCGCGTCCGCGGAACCGCGAGCACGTTGGAGGTCCGAGAACACAGCTAGCGAACGTGTCAAACTGCCTTGGCACGGCGGGCGGTGCAAATCACCAGGTTCGCGCCCCGCCGCAGGAGCGCTTGCTGTGCCGAGCTCGCCAGGGGGCCGCCTTTATGAAGCAAACGTGAATCGGGGAATGCAAAGGATGAAGCGAATTCAGACGGCTCTCAGTTCCCACGTGGGTTCAACCGCTTCATTGAGGGCTGCCTCGTGCTTTCCTCGGAACTCATATTTCTAACTCCTGCAGCCACGGATTGCCGCTTTGCTTCTTGTGCTCAGCATATTCTAGAAACATGTGCAGCTGCAATAATTGGCTATTCATTGAAATGCTGAGGAATCTTCGAAAGCAGACTTTGCTTTGCATGTCGCTTCATATGTTAAGCTGGCTTGCCCCTGCCCCAAGAGGCCTTCTTTCCCCGCTCAGTCCGCTTTCCGCCCTCGGCTTGACCGGTCTCTCAACGCCGGTCTCAGTGCGCCTTCCTCGTGCACCAGGAGGGTCCGAAGCGACCACTTCCCTTGGCTCGAAAGGGTGGGAGTTCCAGGGTCAGAAGGGCCCAAAACACCATCGCAAGGGCCCAGGTGCTTTTGGGCCCAGGAATGTCTAATGAGCATCCGCAACGGACAGATCGAAATGCCAATACCCTAGGTGTCAAGGATCATTTCTTCTTCTAGGCAATATCATCACTAGGGTTGCACGGACAAAGGTTCACTGTGCCCTGAGCAGGTGGGTTCCCCTGGTTGCTTGGTGTCATGTTGTTTCTGATTGCCTTGACCAGCCAAATGGCTTTGACATGGTTTGACCAATCTGAGTTTCGGTGGCAGGGTTGTGCCCTCCATCATCTGGATCTCGGTTGGCTCACACTCCCAAAACCTCACTGCTCACTGGTTACAACATCTTGGCGACTCAACCTGCGCATTCCACTCGCAGTCAACTGGACTGACGAAGAGCCAGATGATTTCCGTCCAGCGGCTCAAGGCGCTACTGGTCATATATGCCTTCTCAGCACTTCGCCGAGTGGGCACCAGCACCAGCACAGTCTCAGTGGCTGCCCACCTGGCTGAGAGGTCCGGCTCTCGCCGTCGACTAGAGGCGAATCTGCGGAGTAGATACACTGCTTTCGGATGCGGTCGGGGTGGAAACCTAGGTGGTGCAGGATGTCCACCATCGACGGGAGAGCATCACAGGCCAAAGAAGATTCATCTGGCATTCTAAAGGTTGGGATGAAACGTGCTCATCGCCTGCACCACTGCAAACCCCTTTCGACGCGCATCAGGCCGAAATCCACCAGATCAACTTCATCTGGTGCCCATGTTCCCAAAAAAACATTGTCACCTTCTTCGGAATTCGAATAGGCCAGCATCTGTGGAATCCGCCCAGGTCCATCGATCAAACGGCTCGGTGTTCTTTCGCCTCTCAGTCTTCACCCGGTCGAGCAAAGGAGCAAGGTAGCCCAACAAGCGGGATTGACCTGGGCGAAGGCGGAAAGACCAGAGATCTTCAAAAAATGAAATCACATTGTCTGCCGCGTGACGCGTCAAACATCTTTGACCAATCCCAATGAAAAAAAATAGACGAAATCACCCGTCGTCTTGAAAAAGTGAAAATCCCAATCACCTCCAATTCACACTCTTCCGATCCCGCAGCCTCGTGGAGCCACAGCCAGCACATCGCGGCCATCCAGAATGGGCCGCAGGAGCTGGGCGACAAGGGCCCGGTGGAACCGTGGAAGTGTCCGACCAAAACGAGACATATTTTGAACGTCGGACCATTTTGAGGTGGAAATAGGGAGAAACTTCCAAAATTGAGTCCCAACGTTCATGAGAAAGAAGAGACGAAAGCCTTGGACAATGTGTACTCTTTCTACACCACATCCAGTTTGTCTTCGCAAGGAACAAAACAAGAGACACCAACCTCAACGCCTCCAAACTCCGCCACGTTCGCACCGCGCGTTCCATGTCGCCACCATGCCCCCGGCGCGAAGCCCTGCCTCCTCGCCCCCGAGTCGCTGTCGCCGCGCGCCGGCGCCGCGCCTTCCGCTGCAGCTGGCTCAGCGGCGTGAAGCCCAAATCGCGGAGGCGTGACTGTAGGCCCTTGCCTCGGTGGACTCTCTGCCCTGGTTGGAGGTGTTCTGTTGGCCACGGGCTTGGGCTTGGAGTGATGGTTCTTTATGTGATGTGTTCTTTCTTATGTTGTCTTGTTTCGTGTGTTTTTTTTCCCGGCATTCTTGGATTTGTCATGCTAGAGTCCCAACAGATTTGTGCTTGCTTGAAGTCCGTCGTTGGCTTTGGGCTGGCAGATTCTTGGATCATCGACCAACTAGTAGCCTTGGCCGATGCGCAGATCTGTCGTCAAGTGTCCCACCACGTGGTCATTTGGGGCGCGGACCCCCTGATGCATCGTTGATTGATGCAGAAAAAAAGAGGCACGACTGTTCCCCTCAAGGGCAGGACTTTTTCGAGGCCGCCTTACCGTCTCCGCCTCTCCGGTTGATGTTGTGCGTGGCATGCGTGCCGCAAAAATGGCAGGCTGGATTGATAAGATGTTCACACGATAAAGCACCCAGAAAATCTGGAACCCCATGTTGTAGATCACCAAAACCTCTCTCCATGTCCAAAGCACTTCAGCTTGGAAGCCGCAGCACCTGCAGACTCCAGTCGCGCAGCTTTCCTACTCTGCTGCTGAATGGGTCCCATTGGGTGACCACACACGAAAACACTCAGCACCATGCCCCGTCATGCCCAGGTCATTCCTGCGCACGCCATACAACCCTCTACCGCCTCCTAGATCTCAAGTTTATAGTGTTTGTAGTCTTCAATGTGCTTTTATAGCGACAAAATCACAGACCTTAAAGACCACATGGGAAGCTTCTCTCGGATGTGTCTCAATTGAGAGTCGCTCCTCTCCCACGATTCATCCATCCAAGGAGTCAAGGAGCTTAAAGGCAGCCGCTCTGGCCGTGGACCGACACCACTGTCCTGGTGGTGTCAAGGCAGGGGACAACCGCGAGTCAACCCGGTGATGGCCATGGAGTCACCAAGTGGATGGTGGGCAGAGCAAAGTACCTGACTTCGAAGACACGAACTCAATTGGAGGCAGCAACACCAAATTATTCACATCCAAACGTGTTCGGGATGCCAACCTTTCAACAAAAAGAACGGCGGGCATGGTTTGAGAGTTCCATTTTCGGCATCCTCCAGAACTCCTCCGGACGACACGTGAAACAATGAAAGCCACCTGTTCACTTTCCAGCAGAGTGAGGGAACCCCTGCTGAAGCTACCCAAGGGTTGGAGGATTTAGGTGCTGGTGTCCTTTTTAGGGAAACCCTCACAAAGAAACGGTGCTTACCAGGACATCGACAAAGGGATTTTCGTGTCGCCATCTTCTGTTCTTTGGTTGTGATTCATGGTGCTGATGAGCAAAAGCCTCTCCTTTTCATGAGAAGCTTGGGCTTCAAAGACAAGTCATAACTAGTTTGTCCTTTTCTTCCAATGAACCAGAATCCATGTTCAAAGATCTTGGTAGCTTGCCGGAGTTTTGCCATGTAGACAAGTAGCATCACCTATTCAGTTGGATGGCATGGACTCCTCTTCAAATGAGTTTCATTTGCAGTTTGGGGGTCATCTTCCTGGCCATATGGTCGTGAGTCACGAGTGGGAATAGAAACTAGTTTTTTCCTCGGTTGAGATGACCCAACAAAATGATTCGATGATTGGTCACACATCAAGCTACATGACCCAAGACTTCTGTCGGATGAAAAACTATGCACCAACAAAAGAGAGGAATCTCCCGGCGCGTGTGCTTTTTAATGACCTTTAAAAATATCGTCCACCTAAAAATAAAAATAAAATAGACATGCACTAAAGTCAGATATCAGATATCTGAGAAACCATGTCCTCCCGTTTCCTCCATGTCCTTCGCCTCCCCGAAGAAACAGCGCTCCTCCGCCATCTTCGAGGCGACCCACCGCCGTCCGCCACCCTCGTGGCCGCCCAGGCCGTGGCGCGGGAACGCGCTGGACCGGGCCGAAGGAGGGGTGCCTGGCAGGGTGCGCTTGGGAACACCGGGCGCATGGTGAAGTGCTTCAATCAGATGTTTAGAAGTTGGCACAGGCACAGGCTTTAGAAGTTGAGTGGTGCTCACAGTGCTCCCTTGGGTTTGAAGTTGCTAGCTGCTAGCTTTGTTTTTAAGTCCATCAACTGTTGCAGCTACAGATGTGTAGAAGGGGTCGTGCAAGACAGGCCTTTCGGCGAATGAGCGCTTGACCGCAGCAAGAAAGGGACCCCCCAGCAGCCGCCCGGATGGTCTTGTGAGAATGTGTTGTTTGGTGCTAACGGGTCTTGCATCCTCCTGATACATCCGGTAGCCCTTCTTCTTGCGGCCTGCTTCCTCTCTGTGTGAACCTGTGTGAAGTTGGTGATAGAGCGAAAGGAATGCATGATTCGGGTAGCAAAACTTGATACTTGAAGTTGTTTGACTCCCGCCTTCAAGTTTGACCCCCTGAAAAACTTTAAACAACACCGCACTCCTAACCTTTGGGATGGCGCTTCAGAGTCCGCTTCTACCCTGTGTGTTCTTCTTTTCTAATCCTCATGCTGATTTGTGACCTGGAGGAGCTGACGAAACAGATCCCCACTCCACTTCCGCCAGGCGGAAGGCCTTTGGGTCTCGTGCGTATCAGCCACCATGCCCGCATGTCGCATGGCGAGGACCAGTGTAGCTTGGTGCTGTCGCTCGCTACTTCATGGGTCGGCGGATTGAAGGCGCAAGCGCCAAAGTCATGAATCAGTCTCTGTCGGGGTGGGTGTCGTTGCGACATCCTACCGATCTGATGGGCCTGCAAAAACCAGCGGGGCCATTTTTGAACGAGTGGACCCATCGTGTTCAATGTCAAACTGAAAGAGGTGCCTACGGCCTCCTCACCATTCCTACATCCGAAAAGCAAAGGAGGTCACCAACTTGTGTGGAATGCTTCCGTTTTTGAGACTTCTGGTTGTAACTTCGCTTGGGACTTGGTCCACTCTGGAAGTAAGTGGGTGCGTAATGAGGAAGCGGTTGAGTCCACAACCTAAGCAAATGGAAGGCAAAATAATATGCTTAGGTGATTGTTACAGGGTCGTGTTCCAAGCTCTTCGGGGCTATCCACAACTATATATGTCCATATAACATCCGGGCGTAGTGACACTTTTGAGGCCATCCACAAGACCCTAGCAACTAACATACCCCTACCATCTGGTTTTATGCGACTTCGCAATCAGTTTCAATTCCTAGATTTGTGGAGCAAAAAACTCTGAGCCAACATGTGTTTGGTCAGAGTGGAAACGTCTTTTGCATCGCGCCAACATCTGACATCAGGCCACCGGCGGCCACTGGCAGCCACAACCGTTTCAGGATAACCGTTTTGTTCATTCTGCTGTTCTCTCTCCCACGCCGTCCTCACGTTTGACGTTCTGTTTTTTCTTCAACGAACAACTGGGAGGTCAAACCATCAAGGGGTTGAAAAACAAGTGCCCACAAACACCATCACCACTACATCAAAACCTTTTGGCTAAAGAGTACATCCTTCTTTTTCATGCACTTTCCATGCAAGTCGTCCGTTGTCATTCTTTCCGACACCTGTGGAGCCCAGGTGGAGAAAACATGCAGGTCGAACGGGTGACGCAGTTCCAGGGCGACAAAGCACCCCGCCAAATCCCCATTCAAGGCGGGCCAGGACCACAGGACGAAATGAGGCGACCAAGCGACCAGGAGACCCAAAGGACCAGCTAACCAAAAGGACCAGGGCACCAAGGGGCCAGACGACCAGGGGGAGGGAACCAGGAGACCCGAATGACCAGGCAAACAAAAGCCAGGGCCAAGCGGACCCAGGGAACAAAGGACCAGGCGAGCAAAGGACCAAGACCCCAGGGGAAACGATGTTACTTTTGCTACGAATCTGTGTATTCTTGACAGGAATCTACTGTTCTTTTGATACGAATCATGATGAATCATGCTTTTGATACGTAATTATCCCTTCAAAGCTGTGCTACGAAGATACATGGTCGAATCTCTCACTGAGGGCTTCGGACATGTCCGCGCCTGCTCTGCGCCCCGGCTCGCTCCGCAGAGCGCGGCTCCATGACTCCGAGCTGGGTGACCCATAGACCGGTGGACCGACGCCTTCGCACAAACCTTTTCCGAGACCCGCTGGGCCCAGCGCCACCTCCTCACTCGCTACAGGCTTTAAGCCGAGCGAGAAACCAGGAAGAGGAAGGCGGGGCCCCCTATCCGGTGGTGAAGACCTCTCACGCACCTGTGCTTAGTTCATTTGGATACGGGTTCCAAATCAAGGCACAAAAACCAAACATATCCTCTTTTAATGTTTCTACCAACGAGCAAGGCCTTAGAGCTTTTGTCTTTTGACCATTACTCATCTATCTACTGAACCACTGACTCTTGCAGTATGGATCTTCGTCAGCGCGTTTGTAGCGCTTCTCTACGAGCGTGCAGGGCATCCAGAACTTCGCTATAGCTCCAGGTGAGATCCTCGTGATTAGCAATCGGAGTGACTTTCGGACCCGGTGCCTTACTTTGGCTTCTACCTACTCTCAGGGCGCAACTCAACTCAGTGTTCTTTCTCAGAGTCTCCAATTATATATTCTATATTATTCTGATCTGCTGTGTTTGCTGATCATCCAATCATCCAACTTTCCGCTATTACAAAGGTTTGTTTGCTTGTTTGCGTTCATCCTGCATGCTGGTAATTTTCCTACCGCAGGCACTGCAACTGGCCTAGCAACAATCCATGAACTCAACTAACTCAACATAAGAACAATTCTGTTCATCTGTGACACATGTTGTGACTGGGGTGAAGAAAGGTTGACGAACACCTAAACTCATAGTCAGGTTACTGGATGGCATGGAAATCGGTGGTTTTGCTGCCAGAATCTGCCCACTTGGTGTTCTGCACTAGATACTATCTCATACTATCTCCAAACATGCGTCAATCACCAGTACCCCCCCGGGGCTGTTTGGGGAGAACGCCCGACCGAAAAAGATCGCGTCCCCATCTCCTTGGCGTTGTACTGCTGTCCGGTGTTCTTGTCTATCTGTTCCTGAGGTATGCTGGGAGTGGCTTAGCAGCTTTAGCACCCCAGAAAAAAAGGAATGGAAGGAGAGAGGTGTGCTGAGGAAGGAGAAGGAATGACACCAAAGCTGCCGATAGGCTCATGGTATGCTACCTGTCCATGGTGGTGTTTCTTGTGTCTGTATAGTAGAAATTGCACAAAAGTAGCAAAAGCCACATGTAATGCAATTGCCCTAGCAAACCATGGGACTCCCAAGGTCCTCAGCAGAAAGGACAAACAACCAGGAACAACCTCTGGCGCGAGTGCGCAAGTGCTGCAGCTTCAATCAGGCCTTCTGAACAGCCTGGGTCGGCGCTGCCTATGCGAGCTGAGTCAGTTACACAATCCACTTTCATCGGGTTGAAGATGCATAATGCATGGTTCAACAGGCTACGACGAATGGTATCTTCTATAAAAATGCAAGCTGGTGTCTTGCAACTTGCTGTGTAAAAAAATCCAGGCTGATCTTCTTATCACAACTCATCACCCTGCCACACACCAAAGCAAAACCAACTAACACCTTCCGTTGGTCCCAAAAAACCCAGCGCAATGGTCCCAAGGTCGCCCCAAACCGTGCCGCACTCCGTCCCGCCGTCCGCGTCCCGCCGAGCGTCGAAGAGGTGCATCCCGTCGGCCATGTGCCGCCGGAGGCGCAGCAGCACCGCGTCGCCCGCCGCGACGAAGTCCGCCGCAGAGGCCCCGAAGCCTTGGTCGGAATTTCTTCGAGGCAAAACGGGGAGGCCGTGATGAAAGGAAAGTGTTTTGAAGAGATTTCAGAAAAAGAATAAGGATCCAGTGGATTTGTCTGAAGCGTCCCAAGTGAGGTACATTCAGTGGATATGGCATGGATATGGGGTGGAGATTCGAACTTCACTCAGACCTGCTCCAAATGTCCCAAAAGAATCCAGGAAAGCCAGGAGATTGTGTTCCTTTTTTTGCAACCCCAACTCCTCAAGGCTCCAAGCACTGGTTCAATACGTCGGATCACCGGCCCCAAACGGCTACGGATCTCGCCTGGGTCTCGGAAGACCTTCGCCCAGGCGGCCCCGGCCGCGCCGTCGCCTGCGCGGCCGGGGGGGCTGTGCGCCTCGGCGGCGGCCTGAGGTGAGCGGAGGCAGTCCGGCGGGGTCAGGCGGGTCGGCGGTCGCGGAAGGGACCCTGAGGGGACTTCTCTGCCGCTCTGTACCGCTCTGACCCATTTTTCTGAGGGGAATCACCACGCAGAGTCCCAAGAGTCGGTGGTTTAGGCGTGAACAACGGTGGTTCTTGCCCCATGCTTCACACAAGGGGGTTCTTGTCCATACATGGCTATAGCCAATGAGTGAAACAGCTCTTCGTGAGCTCTAAAGCAACGCCCAATGAGTGGGGTCCGAACAAACCCCCGGAGCAGGCCTTGTAAAGCAGATTCGCCAAGGATGCAGTGATTAAGACCTCGGGGTCGGCCAAATCAGGTCGTACGGGGGGGAAACATCTGTGAACATCTGAAAATCCCAACAAACACGCCCAGGTGTCGCTACGTTCCTTACGGTTCCTCACCTTATAGCTTTAGTAGGGTCAATACGCCAAGGGAAACTCACAAACCAATTCTTTCACCACACAACTCGCCGGGTGTAGAAGACGAGTCCAAATGCGTTTCTGGAGGTCTGGTCTGGCACCAAGAGTCACAACCTGGGGTATCATGAGGTCTCTCGAGAAAGAGGCATCGGTATCATGAGGTCTCTTGACCAACCTTCCCAGTCGACCTGATGTTCTGCCGGGCGGCCCACGGATTTCCCTCTTTTTGGTGCCCGTAGCGGTCCTTGGCATAGCGGCCCATTAGCACGCCGGGGACCTCTGCGGCAGTGTCCTCCTGGTTGATGGGGTAGCTCTCACAGAACCTGCAGAGCTCGTTGTGGGGACCATCAATGAAACAAAACACTCCCTTTGTCTTTGGTGTGGGCAAGGTACATGAAGGCCCTGGAGTGCACAGTGTATGATGTGTATGTGGCTCAGAAACCTGGAGCAAAAGCACCCCACCTGGTCAGCAAAAATCAATGATGAGAGCCAATGTCCATGGATCTGTCGAATCTTCTGCCAGGTCAGCTGGTAGTCAATGATAAAGGCTAACTTGAAGTCTTGCTAGCCAAACATCCAAGGACCTGTGGGCTTTCTCAAAAATCATGGAACTAAAACATGTTTAAAACCTCTTCCAAAGATGAGACCTGTTTTCTCCTTTCCTCCCTTTTGCTGAGTCACAAATCCAAGCCGTGAGTATCCGTGAGTCCTTGGGTGGTACCTTCTCCTGGGAGAAAGAAACGGAACCTCGCAACCACCCCAGCCCAACGACCAAAGCAACGACCTCAGCACGTCTCCGAGTCGCACAAGGCTCAACTGCCTCACAGTGTTGGCCACCACAGGATCCTACGATCGTGTGGATGGCAAGTCAAGGGAAGTTATCAACAACCGAGGCCGCAAATAGCTATATAATTAACGAATGCAATAATGCAATATTGTCATGAATATGAGTGTGTTTGTGATATTGCGCAGAAATATCATTATGTAAAATCCTTTCACTGCTAGATCAGGCTAGATCGATGCAGTTCACCAAAATATCAGCTTTCCTCTCACAATCGGGGTCAGAGAGAGATGGCCAGGGTGTCCATCAGTGAGTGCCTCGG